ACAGAGCAGGTCATTTCAATGGTTTAAGCCATAGAATGCTAGTCGCAGTAGCGGCTTCTTCTCAGAACACTCCGAAAACCGGGTATCATCCTCTTTTGCTGACTCACTTTTATTACGCTGTGCCGACCCAGCCTCCGCGTAGAGGCTTTACATATCAAATTTGCCAAATATCTATTTGAACTTTACATAACCGCCATCGTGGCTCGACTAATTTACTCTTCGCATAAACCCAACAATGGTCGGTAAACATGCATGAATACGCCAAACTATCATACCTGAATTGGCAGTGGGGGGTTAGGATTTGTTGGAAGGTGAGTTGAGTTACCTAGGTAATTACTAACTAATCGGTTGACCGATTAAACAGCAGTTTAATCAAGTAACTGACCAAACAGGTTTTATCTGTGGTGCTACACATCATGCCTCACAATTAACGTTTTTTGGTAATGGAATTATTATCCAAATAACACGTGCTACTTGGTTAATAAATCCATGAACAATGTTGATGACCGAGTGCTAAGGATGTCAAAATTTGGACATTAATAGGCACCCAGAGGTCCTGATTTCAAACCTTGCCACCATCGCCCATCTTTCCATTATCTGTGTCTCCCCAGACTGCCTATGTATATTCGCGGCCCCCTTCCTAAAAGATTATTTTACATTTATATAACCAGAAAATCAAATAAATGGGTAAAATCATTTTTTTTAATAACAGCGCGCTATTGGCCAGTTGCAATGAGCTGCAGTGACCTAAATGTAGCTCATTCATCAGCTAATAACCGATTACAACGGACGACATTTTATATACCTAATTTCCCGTTTTGTCCCTCTCAATACGTAACTCACTGTGTATTCTTCAGCAGATTTATTACCTCCCCGGTTACTTGAGTTAACATTTATCAGTAGAAAAAGTTGTAGGTTGAATTGAATGTGATATTAGAAAACACTGAATCAAAAGTTTGCATGACACACGGTGTCATCACAATGTCCGCGGTCGGTTGTGCTGTCTATAAGTTCGCGCACATCTGAGTCCAGGCAGTTGGGCCAAACAAATCATGCTGCAATGATCTTCATGAAAACAAGAAGTTCCACGATTTGCTCGTGGACGCGATACTGCTAGGCTTTACGAGCCAAAGTAGGTGAATTTTCTAGGGTAATTCACAACCGGACCCTTTACTTAGCCCAAGCCTGACCAAAGAGGTATCGGGGTGGTGTGTAAAACCGCAGTCCATCAGGAGCCGTTACCCATTGTATCAGGTCATTGGTCATTTGGACGGGTTCAAATACCCAAGGTGAGCCATATACCTTCATATAGTCAAGTCAAGTATTTGCTTTGTGCACCCCGAAAAGTGGATATTCAGCAGTCACATAGTCAACCAACAATTATCGAACAAAATTATAACAGAATTATCGTGAGCAGTGAAAATGAAAACAATTTACGAGATGACTGAGTTAAGTTCCAAAGCGATGCGTTCTGGGCTGACAAGAAAACGAGCAAGGTAGGGCACCACAGAAGACCGATATGCGGTCGTACGAGCAAATATACCATTATAACGGGACCGGATGGAAGAAGAGAACACACGCTTCATAAGATATTCATGTAACGGATGTGAAGGATTGTCTATGGTTTTTGTTGATAACGAGAAGCATGACTTTGTATTTTCGGAAATGATGACATGAAAGGTAGTGTCACGGGAAATCCTGCAGCTTCTTGATAGATGTGTTAATCATTTGGAAAGCAGTTTAAAGTCTTTTTTGAGCATCCCTGGAAAGATTACTAGGGACCCGTACAACCATAGGGGTAAAATACAGGCAAAAAGAAAACGTTTAATCAAAAAGCGAGGGACGGATAGTGTTTTCAGTTGTAAGACAAAATGACAGTTTCCTGACCTTTCCGAATACAAAAACAACTTGGTCAAACCAGCATACGTTTCGTTAATTAACACATCAATATACTTGATATTTGGGGGTTGGACAATAGTATCATCGTTTGCGCCATCAAGAAAACTTGGAAAAGGCTCTGGTGTATGGTAACGCATTTATCCGGAGATCGGGGACTCTAGGTAACACTTCCAATCAACGTTAGTCGTCGCGAGCTAAAAGTCAACTTCTTGTTTGATCCTAAATCGTCCAGTACTTGGAATGGTCCAACAACGAAAGGATACGACTACCATTAAATAATGCGTCGATATAACTTATGCTGGTTTCACTGTTCCTTATGTTGAACGCTTAAGGTTACTCTCGAATTGAGAAGCAAAAAACGAATCCAGTTGGCCATTTACTTCAACGTCCTTGACCAAATGAATTAAACAATATACATTATGGACAACGTCTTCGGGACCATATAATTGACCCGTATCGTAGACAAAACATCTTAATAGCGAATTAGCATAGATATGAAAGGTATGCAAGGGATGAGAAAGCAAATAAATGGTAACGGACAATTTCATAAAATGAAGTGTTTGCTCGCATACAGAAGGCTCGATTGGTACTTGCCGATTTGAGATATCTATGGCGCCGTCGCGACAACCGGTTGTCTGTGAAGGGTCGAGTGCATGCCGAAAGGCGTATGTTGTCTGCGAAATCCGCATAAAACACCCGACTTCAATCATTACCCTACGTTCTCCTGGCCGAACCTCATCCTCACGATTCACTCCTCATGTGTCAGGTGATTAGCTGTCCAACGCTAGAGTTGGTAGTGTTGTCTCGAT